TTGGGTTTGTTCAAGGTCCTCAGAAGCTTATTAACTAATTTCTATCGTTTAAATATTCATACGCCCATATCTCAGCTAGAAAGAGGATTTCCCAGACGATTAGTATTTCGTTAGAGAGAGCTTGATTAGCTGTGTGTTTTTTACGCGTGTCAAAGCTACAGCGCTTTCATGAGCCGAGAAAATCCTCTCTGAATATTAAAACAATAGACTTAAGTCAATGAGCAAAAAAAGAGACCACTTTCACTTGGGTTTATTCAAGGTCCCCGGAAGCTCATTAACCAATTTCTATTGTTTGAATATTCATGCGCCCATATCTTAGCTAGAAAGAGGATTTCCCGAACGAAAAAGAGCTCGTTAGAAAGAGCGTGATTAGTTGTGTATTGTGTTCAAGTGTCAAAGCCAAATGCTCTTTTACGAGCCGAGAGAAACCTCTCTGAATATTAAAACAATAGACTTCTGTTAATGAGCAAAAAAGAGACCACTTTGACTTGAATTTTCTCAAGGTCCCCAGAGGCTCATTAACCAATCTCCTTTGTTTAAATATTCATACGCCTATATCTCAGCTAGAAAAAGGAATTCCCGGACGATTAATGGCATTAGAAAGAATGTGACTAGCTGTGTATTATGTACAAGTGTCAAAGCTACAGCACTTTTACGAGCCGAGAAAATCTTCCCTGAATATTAAAACAATAGACTTTTGTTAATGAGCAAAAAAGAGACCACTTTGACTTGGGTTTGCTCAAGATCCCCGGAAGCTCATTAACCAATTTCTTTTCTCTAAATATTCATACACCCAAATCTCAGCTAGAAAGAGGATTTTCCGGACGATTAATGGCTTGTTAGAAAGAGCGTGATTAGCTGTGTATCGTGTACAAGTGTCAAAGCTACAGCTCTTTTACTATCTGAAAGAATCCTCTCTGAATATTAAAACAATAGACTTATGTTAAGGAGCAGAAAAGAGACTATTTTGTTTACCTATTCATACGCCCATACCTTAGCTCGAAAGAGGATTTCCCGCACGATTAATGGCTCGTTAAAAAGAACGTGATTAGCTGTGTGTTTTGTACAATTGCCAAAGCTACAGCTCTTTTACGAGCCGAGAAAATCCTCTCTGAATATTAAAACAATAAACTTTTGTTAATGAGCAAAAAAGAGACCACTTTGACTTGGGTTTGCTCAAAGTCCCCGGAAGCTCATTAACCAATTTATTTTGTTTACCTATTCATACGCCCATACCCTAGCTCGAAAGAGGATTTCCCGCACGATTAATGGCTCGTTAAAAAGAACGTGATTAGCTGTGTGTTTTGTACAAGTGCCAAAGCTACAGCTCTTTTACGAGCCGAGAAAATCCTCTCTGAAAATTAAAACAATAGACTTTTGTTAATGAGCAAAAAAGAGACCACTTTGACTTGGATTTGCTCAGGATCCCCGGAAGCTCATTAACCAATTTCTTTAGTTTAAATATTCATACACCCAAATCTCAGCTAGAAAGAGGATTTTCCGGACGATTAATGGCTTGTTAGAAAGAGCGTGATTAGCTGTGTATTGTGTACAAGCGTCAAAGCTACAGCTCTTTTACCAGCCGAGAAAATCGTCTCTGAATATTAAAACAATAGAGTTATGTTAATGAGCAGAAAAGAGACCACTTTGACTTGGGTTTGCTCAAGGTCCCCGGAAGCTCATTAACCCAATATCTTTTGTTTAAATATTCACACGCCCATATCTTAGCTAGAAAGAGGATTTCCCGGACGATAAATTGCTCGTTAGAAAGAGCGTGATTAGCTGTGTATTGTGTACAAGTGTTAAAGCTACAGCTCTTTTACAAGCCGAGAAAATCGTCTCTGAATATTAAAACAATAGACTTTTGTTAATGAGCAAAAGAGAGGTCACTTTGACTTGGGTTTGTTCAAGCTAGGTTCCTGGAAGCTCATTAGCCAATTTGTTTTGTTTAAATATTCATACGCCCATACCTCAGCTCGAAAGAGGATTTCCCGGACGATTAATGGCTCGTTAGAAAGAACGTGATTAGCTGTGTGTTGTGTACAAGTGTCAAAGCTACAGCTCTTTTACGAGCCGAGAAGACCCTCTATGAATATTAAAACAATAGACTTTTGTTAATGAGCAAAAAAGCGATCACTTTGACTTGGGTTTGTTGAAGGTCCCCGGAAGGTCACTAGCCAATTTCCTTTTTTAAATATTCATACGCCCATTCTCAGTTAGAAAGAGGATTTTCCGAAAGATTAGTGGCTCGCTAGAAAGAGCAAATCA